CTGCAGAGGCCTTTTTCATTTATTAGCAAATTTTTGAGTCCATCAACAATTTTTTTTTTTTGGGGGAAAAAAGTTTTACTTTTGTTATTAATCATTGATTTATTACAATAACCCGAGACAATGAATCTTAAGTTTTGGGAAAAAGATAAAAATAATATCATTAGTGTACTTCATGATTTAAATGTTGACGAGATCAAATTATTTCAATTCCCCGATTAACACCTTTTTGACCTTCCATGCAAAATTTATATCAATAGTTTTTAAATTTCAAGATAAAACCTACCGATTCCGAATAAGCGTTCTATTTGATGAAACGATCGAACATAAATTTCAAAAAATTTTATTATCGCTACTGATGCTTGAAAAAAACACCAAATTACTTTTATAGCAGGTATATCAAAAAATCTTCATTTGCTTACAGAATCAATCTTACAACTCTGTTTTACTGCAGAAGCTTTTTGGGTATTTGTCGTTTTTAGATCTGGTGGATTCTTAAAGAAATTTATTTTTGTCGGATAGTTTTTTTGTCCTTTCTGCACTTCCTAAAATTATCGATCAAACCCCTAAGGTAATTATAGACTCGCTAGTAAAATTTTTCATGCTATCTAACTACATTTAAACAATTAATTCTGCTTTTGGATTCCGGGACATTCAAAAAATTTAAATTGAATGAGCAAGGGGATAATCTCGCAAAAATCGGGCACGGAGTCCAATGTTTACATTGACTGATTGCCTCAGAAGAATTCTAAAAAAAAATATATCAAAATAGAATTCAAAAAATAAATGAAAAAAAACTACTTAAGCAAATATTTTGAAAAAAATTGGGGAAAAATTCCCACCATTGATATTATTTCAAAGTGGACAGAGAATCGAAGAGAAGAAATTTTAAGCACTCGAATCTTCAGTAAAAAGATTATCACCCAGGCCTCTACATAAATTTAACTTACAGGATAATGCAACGTAAAACATGTAATTGTATTAATGATTTGGGCCACATCATACAAACTGTAGCAGATATATAGACATCGAAACAACCTCTGGTCTATTCTTCATATTGATCCACATTCCACTATCATTTAGAGATGTTTTGGGAAAAAACAATAAAACAAATCAACTTTCAGAATATTTTTAAAGGAAAAAAAGTATTTACTAATCTATTAAGCATTTTCAACCTTTTTTTTTACTTCTTTTTTAGGGATCATAGCCGGTTTCTTTTATCCCCCCAACCTTTTTTAATCAATCAATCAATCGCATTGATTTCAGTTGCTTTTATATTAATGTGTGATGTTAATTATATATTAAAAACTGAATGAGTTTTGACTTACATAGCAAGAAATCTCATTCCATAAAAAACAGGTCATTTATATTTTATCACAATGCTGGAGTAACGATGAACTAAATGAATTAAACAAGTAATCTAATTTTTTTTTAAAGTCAATTGCTAGTTCGTTAGGAAAACGTACTGGCGCCATCTGTTGTAGTTAGTTGTAATTTTTATAGAAATAGCGCAGAATAAATTCAAAATTAAAAATAAAATTTAATTAATGAATTAATTAGAAAAAGCTGTATTAGCATCAAGTGTCATCGACTGCATGTTTTAAAAAATGTATTTGAACTTGACTGGATGAATATAAAGTATTTTATTAACGATTAGAAATTTGAACAAGATATATATATATAGGGAGAGAGTGAACTAATTGTAGGAATTGAATGAACATCCTTACTGTAATATAAGAATAATTTTCTATATTGATAAACAATTTAACGACGAACCATGAGTTTATTTTTACTTATATATGTGTGGTTTTGTTATATAGAAGTGAAATGATTTTCTCTTGATTTTTTTTTTTCTGAATGAATGGTTTCTCCTGGATCATGGTAGTTTTAACCATATTAATGAGCTTAGAAGCTTCTGGAGAAAATAAATAAAAATTCCACAAATTGGCTTGCTATGAAAGTTTGGATAGATGGTTTCCAGGTTACATGTCGACTTTGTCATTTGACAGAGATTCAATTTGCAATTGTCTTCAACAGTATCCCACGCGTGACTACAAATTCGGATTTTAATATAAAAAAATATACAATCCAGCACACATTTGATTAGAATTTTTGTCATTCAATCCTTTGTGGGTATGAGTGAAGAATTATCGCTTTCTGAATCATAAATTTAAAGCTAATAATATATTTTCTAGTATGAAAGTGATCCCCCTTCCCTCCAAAACAAATGAAAAATTCAAGTAAAAAGAATTATGGATTATTCCAAGCGGATGAATATAATTAGCTCTTAGAAAATCAGCTTTTGTTCGTAAAATTCAAAAATAGTGATTACACAATATGATATAACTAAAAAAAGACTAAAAATTGGACGACAGAAATGTTGCGGAGTGGAATAGTTGGAAAAGATCGGCAATTATTGCTTTCTCAATTGGAAAGTGTCAGTAGAAAAAAATGACGTTGGAAAGAAAATGTTTTATTTCATAGACATTTTATAACTATTTCAATGGTATTGTAAAATTATTGCCTAACTTATTTAAAGCATTATAATAATAGATGTATTGCCTCCTTCAGTGCTGGATACTGAGATTCATGACGATGCACCAAAAGAGAAAAAAAGACAAGGATTTTTTTAAATAAATGTGTTTTAGTGCATGAATACACTGTCTCAAAAACGTATTACGAATATTTTTTTTATAAAAATATCCTTTGGAAGAAAAATTAATTGTTCTATATAAAAAAAAAGTTTTTCTTGCATATAAGTATTTGACGAATTTATATCTGATTGTATATCAATCATGTCTCATTTTAAGAAAGTTAAGAATTTTCTTGAGTTTATAAGTTAAATAATTATAAAACTATACATTTCTTGTATACTAACTAAAAGTAGATCTCAAAAGAGTATTGTGACATTGCAGAAATATACAAAAAGGGCTATAAGTGTTAACCTTTAGCAGATTAAAAGCATAAAGAATTTCTAAATTCATTTTTTTTCTTTAGAGCTCAAGGCTTGGTGCTAAAGAGCTACATTCTTATATGAATCAAGAAACTACAAAAACTCAGTCAACATTAAAAAAACTGATAATTTGTCATTAAATCTATGAGAACACTGGGAAAAAAAAGAGTTTGAGTTTGAGTTAATATTAACGTCGCACTGTTCAGCTACACGAGGGCTTTTGGCGACGGACCACGTAATTTTGAACCATGGTCAAGTGACGTGGACGACACCCGAGCTGGCACCCTCTCCAACTACCACACCAACGGGAGGACGTTTCAGCTCTCGACAGATTTAACGTGCATCGCTGCCCTACACGGCGGGTCTTCAGTGGTATTGGGCTCGAACTCATGACATGCCTGCCATGGTCCGATACCTTAACCACTGGGCTACCGCAGCCCCCTGGGAAAAAAGAAAATATTACATACAAGTAAATCTACAGCTTATGACACTATTTTTGAAACAAAAGTAAATCTCGTTGAAAACAATTCATGTGCAGATGTTTCAAATTGTGGCAGTGTAAGTTATAAGAGAGGGATCGTTAGGATTACATTACTTAAAATCCTAAAATCAGTGCAATAAAATAGAAACTTAAATGCGTTTGCACCAAACGTCCTGTATTTCGATTACCCTTAAACGTCCACCAGCGTCGTTTCGACACCACGATATAAAATATATAAAACAATTTTTTAACTAAATAATTGCTGGATTACTGTTCAGTAGGGTTTAGTTTTACAGCTTTTTAATATTATTTCATGTAGTTATCATATATTTGTACCCTTTTTATACCATAAAAAACTGACGTTGATATTATGTTACGTGAAGCTTGAATCTTCCAGGAGCTTTAGTATTATGTGGAATCCATTCTGTGCCATGCCTAGTGCATATATCAGGATTTACTGGAATGTTATAATATCAGTTACATCTGCACTTTCGTCAGATTTTTTGCAGTCACTTTCATTCAATCTTATTTCTTCATCGGAGTCTAAATTAGAAAAAAAAAGTAGTCTAAATTCATTCTAAGAAAGATCTCGTGGTGAAATTGTGGAATCGGCCGCTTCTCCGCCAAATTTAGAAAAATCGCGTATTTGGCGCGTTTTTGTCAAAAATGACTTCTCCTTCACTGGAGAACAAATTCAGAAGGGTTACCAGATTTAGCGCATTTATCGATGTGGCGAGAAAACACTTGTCGTTAGAAGCGGCCAATTCGACAAATCAACCGATCTCGTAACAAATCAGGAATTTCATCAGAACTTAGACCTTTTCTAAGAGCCATTATATTTCAGGGTGCCTGCTCTGCCTTAAGTTTCTAACTTAAATGAATTTTTTTAAAAGAGCAGATAAATAAATATTATGCAACGAAGCACTAAATCCGCATTCACACCAAGGCAGTCAGCTTCGAGCGTTGAGCATCTAGCCAATCAGAGACTACATCTCGCTCGAGATGAAGTCTCGTGTGAATCCAACTTTAGACACAACATTTTTACAAAAATATTAGAGGTTGTGTGGGGGAAAAGAAACCCATTAAAATTTTTCCGTAGATAACTGTAGTGTCGATATCTCGTGAAGTATCAACCAAACAATTTCAAATTTATGCTCGTTGTAAAGGTGACATTTAACACTAAAATTTTTTTTTGGCTTTTTGAAGTTATACTTCTTTTGGGGCGTTAGAGAAACAGGATGAGGGTAAATTGTTACAATGCGCAGGCACACAATCACGGAAGCGAAAATCCTTTGTCTAGAAATATACAGAACGGAACAATAATTACCGCCTTCGAAATTCTCAAAAATATTTCTCTTAACTTCCCTGAAGAAGGGGACACCCGAGTTTGTACCGGAAACCTGTCGATCTGCTGCCGAATGCTATACCACCGAAACAGCGAACCTTTGCTTTGTGTTCAGTAGTAACGTATACGAAAATGTGTGCTTTGCCTAGAAATATACAGAACGGAACAGATCATTGCCACCTTCGAAATTCTCATAAAATTACCTCTCTTCAATTCGCTGAAAATGGGGGCACCCGGGTTTGAATCGGAGACCTCCCGAACTACAGTCGAATGCTTTACCACTGAGCTATACCCCCGCGTCAGCGTACCTTTGCATTGCGTTCCGTAGGAACGAATACGAAAATGTTTTGTCTAGAAATATGCAGAATGGGACAGATAATTCCCGACTTCGACCCCCTCCCCATATTATTGGTCCTATTGTCCCTGTGCAGGGGTGTTTAAATTTATTTAAATCGTGATTATCTCAGGTTTGGCTGGTCCAATTGACTGAAGGTTAGTATCGTTCTATTCTGCTCGTGACCGCCTTGCGTCCTTGGCCCAGCTTGCCCTGCTAAAGAATTTTAGAAAGATTTTAATCTTGTTACGCCAAAAATGTATAACTTCTTACGTTCGTACATAAGTACACACACACTTTTTTTTTGTTTGGTTCATTCAGTTGTGAGTTACAGGGTGTTGAGAGAAACTGGAAGTCAACAAAGAGAAGATTCTGTACATTTAACAGTTTTCCTTTGATAAATTCGAAAATGCAAGTCAGGTGGCTTAAATTGTGAATGGTGATTATGGTGCCGATACTGTAACAGCTGATTGCGTGAAATTTTGGTTTCGTCGATTCCGCTATGGCGTCTTTGATGTTAAAGATGCACCTCGCTTGTCGTCGAAAATCTCGGTAAAATCACTGAAATAATCAAAGTTGACCGGCATTTCAGAAGTCGTAGCTTCGTTCAAGAGCTAAAGATCGACCATAAAACAGTTTTAAACCATTTGCGCAAAGTTGGATTCAAAAAGAAGTTCGATGTTTGGGTGCAACACCAGTTAACACCAAAAAAAAAAAAGAACATGATGGATCGAATTTCCATCTGCGAAGCCTTGGCCAAACGGAAAGAAATCGACCCATTTTTTAAACGGATGGTGACTGGGGATGAGAAATGGGGTCACATACTGCAATATTATGCGAAAGCGATCGTGGTCTAAGGGTGGTGAAGCAGCTCAAACGGTGGCCAAACCAGGACTAACGTCCAGGAAGGTTATACTGAGTATTTGGTGGGACTGGAAAGGAATAATTTATTATGAGTTGCTTATATATGGACAAACTTTAAATACAGATCTCTACTGTCAACATCTGTACCGTTTGAAGCTAGCTATTGTCCAACAGAAAAGGTGTTGTGTTCCATCAAAACAACCCCAGGCCACACACGACTGTAGTGACTCGCCAGAAACTCTGAAAGCTTGGTTGGGAAGTTTTAATGCATCCACCATATAGTCCGGATCGGGCACCAAGCAATTACCACCTTTTTCCAGCATTGCAAAACTTCGTGAGTGAGAAGAAATTGGGATAATGAGAAGATTGTAGAAATCAATAACTAGAGTGTTTAGCCAATAAAGACCAAGACTTCTATGAGAGAGGTATTATGAAGCTACCTTTAAAATGGTAACAAAATACACAACAGAATGATACATATTTGACCCAAATCGGACAATCCGAAACAAGTCAAATAAATGCTTGAACTTCATGCAGAAATAACGGATTTCTTTTTCCCCAACCTAATACAATCGTTTCCACTAATAACCCAATAACACTGCATTCAAGTGAAAAAAATGTACGATATTACTTTGGGAAGTTTGTTTTACTATTAGTAATGATGAATGAGCATTTGAGTGATTATTAATGTCGCCCTGTTCAGCTACACGAGGGCTTTTGGCAATGGATCTCGTAATTTTGTACCATGGTCAATTGACGAGGACAAGAAATGAACTGGCACCTAAATATTCTAACTATCACACCACATCAAAGAAAGGACGCTTGAGTTCTTGACAGATTTAACGTGCATTGCTCCCCTAAATGGAGGGTCTTTAGTGGTACTGGGCTCGAACTCGCGACATACCCGCCACGATCCGACACCTTGACCACTTGGTTACCATGGCCATCAAATTATGTCGGATCATAAAGTGATGGTCATGTCTCCACATTTACAGTGGTGTCACTGTATTGAACTGAACTGAACTTCCTACTACCCAGAAGTTATATCCGGTAACCCTTTATCAACCATCTACAAAAACGACCGAGAAACATTAAACATATTCGTGTTGTGATAAATTACTTCTCAAAGAGAAGTATTTCTACGTAATTTTTTACTATTTTACTAGGATTAAGAAAAACAAGAAATTTGCATTTCAATATTTAAAGTGTTTCAAAATTTAGTCGTTTCCAAAGTTGACAAAAATGAGGTTGATAGAAGATTTCAATGCCGTGCCAACACTTCGTTTTCTTATGGTAACTCGAATCGTTATATGGGCATGGAATCACCCTAATATCGTGCGTTCCATTAGTCAGATGTTAGACAATTTGAATGAAATAGAAGTGGAACAAATGTGGGAAGAAATCCTGGATCACGTAAGAGCAATCGTTCAAAGCATTGTGGGTATTCCTGAAGGTGTAAGGCCTGACTTGGATGCCGTAATCATCCCGATAGGCTTTCATATAAGGGAAATGAGAACATTTATGAATTACTGTCCTTTTTTACCAAGCTCTCATATCGAGTTTCCAGTGGACTTTTGGACTCCTTATGGCACTGTAGATATTACGCGACAAGATGCGATACAAGTGCGAAATGAGAGAAGGCAAATGGGCTTTAGATACAATTTGGCTTGTCATGACTGTTTCGAGGATATGGTCGAAGAACTTTTTCCCTTATTAACACCACCACTAATATATGATTTTCGACAAATGAATCCACAGAATGAATTGCTAAGTTATTGGACTCATAGAATGATGGAAAGTTTGGAGTACTTCGTTCTTTTAAATTTTTTTGTGGATGTAGGTGGAGGGCCAAATGTTGCTAATAAATTGGCATTCCAATATACTTTAAAGGATGGGAGCAAGTCGGGAATCGAATATTTTAGCCGTAAATTGCCATTTGAAGACTTTGAGTATGTCACAAGATATTTCCTGTTCTACCTTGATGAAAGACCCGATACACTTTGGACTAGGGCAGGTTTCCTCCCAATACCGCCTAAAGAACATTATAGTGATTCAACTTACTTTTTACTCTCAAGATTCGATGAAGAACAGCGAAATACTATTTTACCCGGACTTCATACTGCCGTCATGCTTAATTTTTTAATGTATCCATTTTATGGTTTGTTTAATACTTACGGAAATATCTGGAGAAGTAATTTTTCTTGTCAAGACTTTGAACAGCTACTAACAAGAATTGTGATATTGCGAATACTTAACACTAATTTCTTCGAGTATCATCTTTTTGCGGATTTGTATAGAAGTTGCCCTGAAGCATACAAATTAGAGATTAGGAATTCGGCGACTGAAAGACATAACGCAGGTAACCTTGTCGCAGGTCTGATGCTCGAATTAATGACAAACTTTGATGCAAGGTGAAATTACCATCGAAAGCTTGGCAATTTGTTGTACTAATACGCTAAAGCACAATTAATTTTTCCATTCCTCCAAATTGTATAAGTAGACTTTTAACTTCGCATGCTAAAAACGCTAATTGGTATAAGTGGTGGCAATTAGATATATAACAAACCTTAAATTGTAGGGTACTCATATTGAAAAGTGTATTAAACTTTATTTGTTAACCAGAAAATTAACACAAATCTTTTTGGAACATGAGCAACTTTCCGCTTAAAGATCGTATTTAAAATATAACTTGTAAACGTCCACACAATAATATTTGAAATTGGAAAGCTATAGCATTATTGATCTTTATATTGATAATTATTTTTTGATTATGTTTTCGACATCAGATTAAATAAGTATAAAAAATATTTTAACCAGTATTTATTTAATGCCGAAGAATATTTGTTTTCTTATCGCAACAATATTTAATCAATTCAATATATGTATAACCGAGAAATATCCTTTTATTTTTTGATGCATGTTTATTATAAACATTTAATTGTGATCACTGTATTTTTCTATTCTATGAATTCTCGAATTATTGTGTTACTATTCTGAATAAAAGTACTTACACGATCGTGTAATTAATATATCATTTCTTGTTGCATAATTTTCCAGATTGTTTGATTCAAAATTACGGCTATGGGATTTTTTTTTAAATTATGTAACTTACTCAAAGATTTATTTTTTCCCAGTTACGCACTGAATGAATTTTACCATCGACAATAGATTCTCCCGAAGAAATTTTATTTCTTCGTTTCGAAGTTCTTAGGAAATTTTCCAATGACAAGCGTGGAATATTCTAATTTTTAACAGCTTCCAAGAATTACCTTGATTTTAGAAATTATTTGGTTGTAAAATTTTGGAAAGTATGTGGATACTTTCCTTTGGCTTGAAATTCTCGAGCGTTTAAATTTTGCATGTTGAAACCATAAACGTGCGCGTTTATATCTATTTTCGATTAATGTTAAAGAATAGGACCCGAATTTAGAACATTTTTTCAGATATAAAAAATAATAATTTAATGATATTCTGTCTTCACTATCCTTTAGAGTGCAGCATTATTTATCATACTTCTCATTTTGAACCGAGCTGATTCTTTTTCTGGTATAAAATGTTTTGCATTTTTTATCCTATACCGCAATGTTAAATGGGCTTTGCCTAAACATATTAAAACCAAAAAAAAAAAAGTTTATATTTTTAAATTTTTAAGAACACTATATTGTTAAAAGAGTTGCGAGATATAATATTGGAAATTTCAATAGAAATTGGGTCCTTTTTCTTGTCTGAAAATATGCTTCGCGTTTAGTTAGAGCTCTCGTACTTTTACCGAAAACAGCCTTATTGTTTCTATTTTAGAAGAACTATGCACTTGTAGAAAACTTCGTTAGAAGAACTACAGCCTATAACTTGTGTTTACCATATCTTTTAAAAATTATATCATACTTTACTTCCTGAGAAACAAAGATTAAACATATTGTATATATTTGTGTTAACATGTTTTTCTCCGATCTAAATTTAGTGTTGTGGGTATTGCGACTATTTGTTGAATGATTTGCTCATTTTTAATTTTTATAACTTTTATCGTTAATTGTAAAAAGTTAACTATTTTATCATTCTCTTTCGTGGTGTTTCTTTTACTAATAAAATTAATGATAT